GGGGGCGTATGGGGACCCTCCAGCGTGTGGGAGAGCCCTGTAGGGGCTTCTGTGGTGACTGTAGCCGCTGCGGAGGGTCCTCAGGAGCTTTGTAGGGGCTTCAGAGAGGGGTCGGCGGTGGGTACGGAAGCATATAGGGTCTATAGGGGTCTGTGGGGTCTCTGCCTGACCTCCTGCGAAACTCGGGCTTAGCCAAACTCGCTGTAGTGCACATCTGAGTGAAATTTGTGCCTCCTGGAGTTGAAGCTGGGGGGGCGGGGGGGCGCAGGGGGGGAGATAAACGGTTTCTGATTCGTTCCCAGCTGGAATTGCAAAGCATCTGCTCTCACCGCCGGTTCCTGGGTCTTTCCCTGCTAGAAACCCGTTTGTTCAGCCCCTGTTTTTCTCTATAAGGGCTTTTTTTTTGTCAGCTTTCAAGTTATTTTTTGTAGCCCTTTTCTGCAGCCTGTCCAGATTTCTGCTCGTTTCCAGTTTCTTAGGTGTCCCCCGGGAAGCAGCGATGGGGTTTGTCCGGGAGAAGGTGGAACGACCCCAAAATATGAAGACGAACGTAACGATGTCGCCGGATGCAGATAAAAATGAGTGTGAAAATAGGCCAAAAAAGCAGGGGTCTCTCTGTTTAACAGCCCGGATTGTCGCTCGGTGCTGATTTTGTCGGAAAGCCGATACAGACTAATCGATAACGGACTTCCAAGGGATGGGGGGAAATACCTAAATGATAAAAGGCGAGGAAAACACATTGGTCAGTTATTCGGAAGACGTGAAACCTGCATGCACGGTTTTGTGCCGGAATAAACATACACAAAAACTTCTTAATTCCCCATTTTATCTGCATCCCGGTGCAGCTTAAGGAGGAGCTCCGGCCCTTTTTCGGGGGGCTATTAGGAACCCCGAGGTGCGCGTTGTAGTGAACCCACAACCCCCACCCCGCACCGTGTTCGCTGAAAAGCAGCGCAAGACTTCGGTGTTGTTCCCTCTTCCAAAGCTGCAAATGCTCTTTTTTGCTGTGAATTTTCCTGAATTACCCGCTCCTGACAGCCTGCGTGCGTCTCTCTTTGCTTCTAAATTGTCTTAAACCCGCTTTTCCCCAGGCAGGGATGCCGAGGAGC